AGATTATTGGCAATTTATGATTTGATTAATGAAATTTTCAGATGTTTTTTAATTTTATTTTAAGTTTCTTACATTCGTAATTACGACGATTCAACGTTTAAAGAAAAATCCTGGAAATTCGAATAATTAACATCAAATTTTGTATTGTCGACTATCCCGCTATATTGAAGAGTGGGTCTTCTTTGATCAGTCTCATTTAATCAGGAGACAAATTAAAGTCACCTTCATTAGAAGCTTTGCTATCATTTCACGCCCTCTTGTGCTATGTAACATTATATAATTTGATTATTCTATGTATCCAATTATAAGACTAACAAAGAATACAAAAATAAAAAGGTCACTTCTGGATTTGAGTTACAAACATCAATACTTTATTAGATACAAATGTGGAAATAAGAGAAACAATATATAGCTAACACCTTTTAAATATAAAAACGATGCATAAAATAGACAGTATAATTGATTATTATGGCTGTAAATCAGCAATAAAAATAGGTACATATATATAAGCAAATAAGGTTTAGTTTGTATTGAGAAGCTCCTCTATCATTTGCAAAGCAACCTTCTCTTCCTCATCCATCCCTTCTTCTCCTCTGCCACCAACCTCAAGTTCAGTGGTCGGAGCAAGATCGTCTTGTGAATCTTTACTAGTAGTCTCTTGGGAGGAGCTGGCGGCACCGAGCTCCACCGTCATGACCCAGCTGGAGTCAGACTTGGAACCGGCCCGTTTCTGCCAGACGCCGATGTGGGAGCTGGCCGTGTCGAGACGGAGGCAGGTGAGGGATGGAGAAGGAGACTTGCAGCATTTCCTCAGTTTAGCGCTGAGGATGGAAGAGAGCGATGAAGATGATGAGGATGATATTGTGGACGAAGATGAAATATCGGTTTTGCCCTCGGATGTGTCTCCGGTGTTGTTGTTGAAGGGAAAGTTGGTCTTGGCGTTGCGGCCGCTCATTAAAACGGCGGCCTCATCGTATGCTCTTGCTGCCTCCTCAGCGGTCTCGAACGTCCCTAGCCAAATCCTCCGCTTCCTTTGTTTTTATAATAATCATCATGCATGTCAAAATTAATTAATGATTAAGCATGGTGAATATAGTCCAATAACTTATTGATATTTACGTATCTAGATGTAAAAATGGATTTCATGTGTTAGCTAAGGAGAGGGAAACAACTAAGGAAGATACACCAGAAATGAGTTAGACGATCATGTATATATATGTATGTGGTTGTGTACTTAAATGAATCAGATAGGGGAAATAAATGAATAACGCAGAAAAAAGGAAAGAAAGAAGAAAGGTACAAGAGAGGATGACGAATCTCAGCGACCCAAGAACCCCAATGGCGTTGCCTGACACCTCTGAACTTCTTCGTCTGTACCATTCTTACTTACTCTGTGTTTTTTGTCAGAGAGAAAGTAGGAACTTGATGATGAGTAATATATGTAAGATGGATATTTGGTAAATGGTAATGTAGTATATTTATATACATAGGTTAAATTTTGGTGGATGAAAAGGTACTTGTTCCTACTCTTATTACATTTGACGTCCTCGCTAGTGTATTATAGAGAGAGAGAGATAGAATTTAGCTGGAGTTGTTGGTGTAGAGTAATTGCTAATGTGAAGGATGGTTATTATAAGGGTAAACAATTTAAATTTCAAAGGTTGGATCGTATATATGTAGAAATGCACAAGGGGTACAAGTATCACATGGCCGTGTATATTGTTTTTAGCATACGTACATCCCAATCAATCGTCCACATCATATAGCTAGGTACGTACTACGCCTCTCTCTGTGTTTAATTTGATGCTTACTTATATATGTATACAACTTCGTACGTACGTGTAACCCTTTTGCGTTCACCATTAACTGCAAAATTTTATATCTAAGTAGAGTGGTAATTAAGACCGAACATCAGTCCATATTAATGTTTCGTTTATATAATACTACCATGTTGGTTAACAACCAACACTAACCATCGGCCGCCAAATCATAATTGTCAATCCAATCCCCAAGACTTATAATGTAAATATTATGCAAGTTATAAATCGTATATATGGATATATAAGCTCTAGTTTGGAGTAAATTTAAGTAGTGAATTTGAAGAGGATTATCAACCGTAAAATGATTGCCACATAAAGAAAACACGTAATAAGCGCTGGGAAAAGTGGTTGTTCACTCGCGATCAAATATAACACATGCGATGTATATACCATACATAGAGAGGGAAAAGTGATTATATAATTAGACATTGACAACATGTACAAGTTAAAAGTAAAAGAAAGGACAAAAAAAAAAAAAAAAAGCGTGGTCCATGTACATGTATATTGTGTAATTAGTATAAGGTTTTGTCCACATACCTAGTTGATTATCGTACACCCAGCCTAAGCCCTAAGTGTCAAATTGGGTCCAGATTAAGGCTGTTTAGGTGTCAATCTCAAATCTATTTCCTTTTAATATTTTTGAGCAAACATCTTTAACCTAATGTATGCTGATATTTAATATATAATATAATATGGTTTATACATTTTTGTTTTTGAGGTGCTAATTTGGTGGTGGCTGGTTATCATAGGGCCCCACCTCCGTGAGTCCATGACCGATATTTCATACTTATAGTCTCTTCATTAACTCTTGTTCATACTTGTGTTTGGAACTTGCATGTCATTGTTCCTTTCAATCATCTAGCCTTTTATTTCATTTTTGTTGTAGACCTTTGTAGCTACTTAATATTGGATGATTGATGATAGTTGTACTCATATGTAATTTGGAACTGGTAGTAAAATCATAATTTTTTAATTTGGTACGTAGTATAATCTCGAATCCATCAGCTTCGTATGTATCCTCCTCGTTATTTTTATCTGGATAAAATTTACGTACAATGATTTTCAAAATGCTATATATTTTAACAAAATCGTATGTATCTTTTGAAACACGAAAATCACGTGATTGAATTCTCCGAAAAGGGTCAAAGTTTCGAAGAATAAGAAACTCAACTTGCAAGAGGCCAAAGATGTTTCAACAAAAGGTAAAAGTTTCCTAACAGCGAATTTTTGACGGGTTTATGAATCTCCTTATCTGGCACTCACTTACGTCTGCACGTGTTCTCATGTGTGAACCAAATAGCCCGATTAAATAACAATGGGCCTATATTGGGCCATACTGATGTCCAGAATGAATGTAACAAGTTAGGTAGGTTTTGCCGCAACGGCGCGAAGAATAGTCAAGCCCGAAATAGAAGTGATCAAATGCCAGCAAATGCCACCTTAATTTGTCCACAAGAAACCGTTTCCTTCTTCTGTATTCAACTCTGATCAACGGCCATTCGTCAAAATTTGCTAAATTCAAAGGTGTTTGTTTTGTCTTCACTTCCATAAATTGTTTTGTTTTTCCATTTTCTAGTTCTTTAGAATCGAATGAAAATGACATGTTTCCATCTCCCACAGGTCGAAGAATTATGCAAGATTGGCTTGATCTTTGATTAGTCTTGTTCAAATAATATCTTTACAGATTTGTGCTTGGATGCAAAAGAGTGGACAATATTGCTTGTGCTAATGGCTTCAAGGATTCAGATTTCACCCCCAAGTAGTGGTAGATTTTGTGGGACAGAATATTATCTGTTCATGTAAAAAAAATTATTTGCTTTCATATCTTTTTATCAGCCATGGGATCGAATCCGTGAATCAAGCAGTAACCGCAGCGATCGACCACTGCTAAAAAGGCTAACAAACGAAAAAAGCGCATTGATAAGAGCTTTATGTGAGTATGAGTGGTCACAGAGAGCATATAAATTCAAGACCTACGAGGGAAATCTTCCTGACATCATCATCTCTGTCTTTTTCTTCACTGTCTTCCTCTGTTTCATGGGATGATGCCGTAGAGCTAAGTACAAAAGAGTCCAAAGCATCATCTTCTGAGGATAATAGTCACCAAAATGGGGAGCTTTCAAATGCTTCTTCTTCTAAAGGCTCTGACATATCGGGTGTGACTCATGTCAGGATGCAGCCTCCTTCTTCTTCTGAAATATCGGGTTTGACTCATGTCAGGATGCAACCAGCTCCATCTCCGCCTTCGAGGTTACGACCAGTTCACTTGATGAATAAAGGTATAGCGAATTACGATCCCGGGAGAATCCCTGCATCTGTGTTTGGCAAGAATGGAGATGTGACTTGGAGCGAGATTTCGAATGAGTCTTTGTTTAGTCTGAAAATTGATGGGTATAGAAAGTCAAACGCTCAAGCACCTCGTCAAAGCAATTTAAAACCTGAAGAAGTTTTGATGTCAGGTGAGTTCTTGAAATATTCCCCGTCTCTGGTAGTCAAGCCTGAGGATGCAAAAGAGAAGAGATCTGAAGTGAAAGAGATAAAGAATGAAGAAACAAGAGTTCAGAGTCACATTCATCAAGAGAAGTACCCGTCATTTCCAGATGTCCCATTGAGTAGTATCCCCACCAACTTCTATTGCTTATATGCGCCACCGATAAAAGGTCAATCTTATTCCCGTCCTGTCGGTGAGAAAAAGAGTAAGAAGAGAAAGAGAAGAAAGAACAAGACGAAGAATAAAAAGGAGAAGAAGAAGAAGAAGGAGTGTTGCACTTGCATGTGGTCTTGGTTGTGCTCAGTATTTTCAAAGTGAGTGTGTGACGACTTTGCGTTGCTACAAATGGAGAAAGTGTGTCTGCTGCTGCAAAGGGCCAAAAACAATGTTTTTGTAATCATGATAGTTATGTGTTGACATCTAAACAACTATCTTTATTGCATCCTTAATGCTTAATGTACTCTTACACTAATGGTTAACAAAATTTCATCTATGGTCTTATGTTGATTCCTGCAGTCTATTTTTTGTTCATTATAGAAAATGATAATGTATTATTACAAGCTGTATGGGAAATATGGAGAGTGGGGTCGATTATAGGCATGGAAGATGCACAATTATTTTAATTATAAGCTCATACCAAACACACTATATACATACATATTCGTCAATTATTAAGTTTCTTCGAATTATTACAAGTTCATTGATTTGGTTGATCTTGTATAATTACAAGAGTACCCTCAGTGCCAAGAGATCCGTATAACGGCTGACTGATGAATAATAATAATAACTTCTCTGGGTCTTAGAAAAAAGGCAAATCATTTCAAAGCGAAAGGCAAAGGGAAAACGTAAAGAGGGCAGAGCCCTTCTTCTTCTTCTCCGAGAAGGAGCTTGCAGCCTCTGTCTTTTCAAGGATTCTTTTCGATGCCCAGTTGATAAAGGAAGCGACTTTATTTTAACCAACGAGATTTTATCATCAGGTAAGCAAAGCTATTTGATTCCTAGATTCTTTTGTATTTTATTAAACATGTTTTGTTCGATGTTGATTGGTTTCTTCTTTGGCTTTTCTCTATAGGGTTGGTTAATTGGTTTGTTAATTTGACAAGGATCACTGATCACCCTCTTGAGAACATCTCGAGCTTTCCCAGATCTATCGGAGCTCCTGGGTTTATAAATCGCTGACTTCACAAATCGATGGGGTGCGTTTCTTCTTTCGATTTCTGTTTTTGACTTTATGCACAATGTTTTCGTATATGATCGATTTAGATTTGAGATTCTGTTTGATGCGTTTTGTTCCTGCGTTATTTGCTACTTGGGGTTCATGTTTATGATAGATAAACCCTAATTTTATTGCTTGGGAGGAATTATGGTTGTTTTGATAGATCTCTGAAAGATTGATATGGAAACTAGGGAAATAAGGATGTGTTTGGGCAATGATCACAAGTTATGGTTTTGTAACAGAGCAGTGGCTGCGTGGGTTGCTACAGAGAACACAGATCAACTGCCACCACTCTGAAGGATCCACCCTCCAATTCCATTGCTCGACCGTGTAAGAAGCCAAGTGTCTCCGAAGATTTCTGGTCAACAAGCACTGTTGATATGGACAACATCACCTTCCCTTCACAGGGGAGCTTATCATCTAACCAGACTTTTGATTCTCAGTCTGGTGCTAGAAACTCTAATGCTCCTCCTGAGTTTGTAAATCAAGGTACTTTCTTTTCGGATTGTGGATTTCATGGTAGGGGAACGTTATCATCTAGTGTTTTGTGATGGTTTTATATGAAGTAGGTTTGTGTGTTTGTAGGTCTTCTTCTTTGGAATCAGACACGGGAGCGATGGGTGGGCAAGGAAAAACCCAACAACCCGGCGGATCGCAATCATGGAACCAAGTTAAAGTGAGTGGCTCTGTTAGACACTAATGGTTCATGAAAGCTAAGGGATAAGTCTGACAATGTTACATTTTATATGTCATCATTTGCAGTTGGAACACAGCAACGTATGATAGCTTGCTTGGGAGCAACAAGTTATTTCCCCAACCCATTCCTCTCACCGTAAGTAATCAAACTCTTCTGACTGCAGGAAATTAGGAAAAAACCCAGTCATATTAACCATGTTGCTGATGAAAACAGGAAATGGTGGATTTTCTAGTGGACATATGGGAACAAGAAGGTCTATATGACTGATGAAACAAGACTTGGAAGATACACATACACACTGGTTCGGGCATTTCCGATTTTTTTCTTTTCGGTTTTGTTTTCGTTTCTTAAAGCCCTTGTTGTTGTTACCACTTACCATCTTTCATTTGGAGTTGATCGAGAATACTGGGAAATGTGGCTCATACGTTTTCACCGTAAATGAGAAATATCCCTTATTATACCATCTTTCAGTTCAAAAGATTAAGACCGATATCTCGGTTTGACCAATCCGTATCTTAATCTGGGACATGTTCTTGTGTCTTTTTTTTTTTCTTTGTTAAGGACATGTTCTTGTGTCTCCTGTCCCACTTACATTGATCCTACCTTCCAGGTGATCTGTCCAGTGTTTACTTTTCACATTATACGTAATATATACAATTTTTAATAAAATGATTAGAGGACATTCCATAAATTAATGCTTCACTAATTAGGGATTAGACTCGTGCCTAGAAGGAGAATCTGAACCTAAAGGTATCAAAGCAGAAAAATGTTCCGAATAGTAATTGGGCCGTTAGTTTGGGCTTTTAGCACGGAGAGTGGGAATAAACAGAAAAAGCATATTCGCCGGCGGTCACGTACCGGACCTCAACCCCACTCTCCATTCTACTTTACTAAGCGGGAAACAGATGCTGATGCTTCCTTATCCATCGATGAAACGTCGGCCACACTGGCACGTGTCGATCTCAAAGAGGTCTGTCACTAAACTATCAAGTCGTCCGAGTGCAGATTTATCATCCACGCTCTCGTGGATTACGTGGAGGCAGAAATATCAATTTTTGTTTGAAATAAAAAAAAGAATAAAAAAATTAAGACAGAACAGAAGAGACACGCAAACATATCCATTAGTCACAACGGTTTCTTGCAGCTTCTATTACCAGAAAGGAAAGAAAGCCGAAATTTGTTTCAGGATAAGTAGTTTGAGTAGAGATTGTGTCTGGGTGGTACTGTGTCAGGTGAAGAGAGAAGAAGAAGATGGAAAATACAGACGAACTTGTCTCCATTGAGCTACCAGCTCCTGCTTCATGGAAGAAACTGGTATCTTCTTCCTTCCTCTTTTATTTTCTTTTCCACTGTTTATTGGAATTTCTGCTGTACTTTTCCTTAAATTGATGTTGTCTGTGTAAGAGATTGTTTGTCTGTTCTGCTTTATGTTGAAGTTAGTTTCTTTTGTTTCTTATGGTTTAGGGTTTATGTTCGATTTGGGGGATTTCAAGAAATGTTTTGTTTCTAGTCGAATTTGGGACTCTCTATGTTCAATTCATGTGAAATTATCTAATTAGATGAGAATTTAACGGTCAGGGCTTTCTTAGGGGGTCAAATTAGGGTTTCGGATTAAATTCTCTTTAAACCCTAGATTTGGTTGATGAAATTTGGGGGTTTCTTATAGATTGTGTCTTGTGTTGTTGCTAGTTCATGTGTCTTTGGTTTTTGATTAGTAGAAGCTTGTTTGGTTTCAGTTTTATCCGAAAAGAGCAGGTACTCCGAGAAAGACAGAGATTGTATTCGTGGCTCCAACGGGTGAAGAGATCAGCTCACGGAAGCAGTTGGAGCAGTACCTCAAGGCCCATCCTGGCAATCCTCTCATCTCTGAGTTTGAGTGGACAACTGGGGAAACTCCAAGGAGGTCTTCAAGGATTAGCCAAAAGGTGAAGGCCACAACGCCTACTCCTGACAAAGAACCCCTCCTGAAGAAGAGACGATCTTCTCTTACTAAGAAGGACAATAAGGAGGCTGCTGAGAAAAATGAAGAGGCTGCTGTGAAGGAGAACATGGATGTTGACAAGGATGGACAGACGGAAAACGCAGAGAAGGAGAAGGAGGGAGTGACAGAAATTGCAGAGGCAGAGAAGGAGAACAAAGAGGGTGTGAAGGGGGAGAAGGAGGATGAAAAGGCTGAGGCTGAGAACAAAGAGGCAGAAGTTGTGACTGACAAGAAAGAGTCCATGGAAGTGGATACCTCTGAGTTGGAGAAGAAGACTGAGAGTGGAGGAGGAGCTGAAGAACCTTCCAAAGTTGAAGGCCTCAAGGACACTGAACTGAAAGAGCCACAGGAAGTTGTTGCTGAGGGTGATGGAGAGAAGAAGCCTGCTGAGGAAAAGACTGAGAACAAGGGCAGCGTGACAACAGAGGCTAACGGAGAAGAGAATGTGACCCCGGGTGAACCTAATCTTGATGCAGATGCTGAAGCAAATAAGGGAAAAGAACCCAAAGAATCTGATGAGAAGAAGAGTGAAGCTGAGGTAAATAAAGAAAATGACGCTCAAGAATCTGATGAGAAGAAGACAGAAGCTGCAGCAAATAAGGAGAACGAAACCGAAGAATCTGATGTTACGAAGACAGAAGCTGCAGCAGCAACAGCAGTAGCAGAGGAAAAGAGTAACGACTTGAAGGGAGAAGACACAAGCAGAAGCTTGGAGGCGAATCAAGTTCAACAGCAGCAGGGCGCTGCAGCTTCCGTGAGCTGTTAAAACCTATATCGTTCTGTACACAGCACAGAACGTGAAGAGTTTGTTGTGATTTCAGGTGTAGCATTAACATTATGAGTGCTTGTTGTATGTGTTGGTAGAACTAATGTCCTTCTATGTAGTTCAGTTCATTATCATTTGACGTTGTACCTTTGTACTTTGTTGTATCATTAATGTTAGGCATTTAGACTGTTCTTTGTCTCATACTTAGATGAATGACGAGTGATGCCAAGTGAATGATACCTAACACCGAAGTCCCAAAGTAGAAGATTACCTGGTAGGATTGAAGAGGTAGAAACGAAGTGAGCTCATTGATTACAAGAGCAGATCTTACAAAAGGAGAAGATTACATATAGTAAAGACTAGAGAGGTAAAAACGCAGTGAGCTAATTGATTACGAAAGAGCAGCTCTTAGGGAGCGTATGATATCAGTGAGGGAGACGACTCCTTGAAGTAGACCTTGTTGGTCCATCACCCACACTCTGTGCACACCTCTGGTCACCACTTTCTCAATCGCTTCCTCCATAGTCGACTCCACACCGCAACTCACCACCTCCCTCTCCTTCCCCGAAGCTTTCTCAGTGAACTCCAAAGCTGTGAGTGGCAGCCACGTCTGCAACTCCGGTAGACGACATCCTTTTAAATCCGTTGCTGAAAACGTACCTATCACTTTCCTATACCTCCCCTGCAATCTCAAAACACAAAAAAATGAAGTAGATATTATACATAATGAAAGTATATATCTTCAATGAAGTCTACATTGATTAGCTGTAGATGATCCTCTTGTGCTATATCAGGTGCGTGAACGATGGGGACAGCGTTGAGAAGAGCACCCTTCATAACGTTGATGGCATTGGAAACAGTTGTTCTCTCGGTGATGGCGTAAACGGAATCGTTAACAGCTCGAAGATGGGAGATGGAGCGTGAGAGGACAGTCTTGAGGTCATCAAAGTGATGGTCTTTGAGGAACCGCAAGAGATCCATCTGAGTAAGCATCTTGTAAGCAGAGGCTGACTCAATCAACTCAACTCCTGCACTGGTGTTATTGCTCTCTATGCTGCTCTCTACTGGCACTAAAGCTCGATGGATCCCTTTGCTAAACACTTCCATGCACTCTAACAAGCTGGTATTAGGATTCAATGTCCAAAGACTGAGTCCTTCAAGGCAATGACCGATGATGGATGACACCTGTGAACCCATCTTGCGATCAAGATGAGAGAGATTGGAATCTTCACCGGCGATATGAGCAAGTATGTCAAGCATAGTGAGAATCCCGATGTAGTGTTTTCTTACAACTCCAGTTTGTTTGTCTGACTCCATGATCATGGAACCGCCGGCGCCAATCCAGTGTCCTGGAGGTGCAGCCACTGGGAGGGCTGAGATGGAGTTAGCCACCAATGTGTTCATTGCGTGAGAGAGTGTTGCTGTGTACGGAACCTCCACGAGCCGTCGGTTTCTGGCCGTTAGATCTTTGGCCGTGGCATTGATCAGACGGCTGTGATCTTCTTTGCTCTTCTCTTCTTGCATAGTGTTAGTGTTGTCGTGGCTTGAACGTGTTGCTTCGGGAACCTTTTTAAGTGTCGATCTTGGCTCGACATTTGATGTGAATGGATTAGGACGGCGTGTGATGAATGATGATGATCCAGAAGCACGTGGCAATCGATACTTCATACTTGCTTGTGACATGGAACACGTGGCATTTCATCGTTTACTTGGGCCTCTTAGCAAACGGCCCAGTAGAATGTTTAATGACCAAAATAGCCCTTCGTCTCTTTTTGTTTACTTAAATTCAACATCTCCCTCTCCCTCGCGTCCGCGAATGAAACGTCTTGAGAATCCAAGAACGTGGGAAAGAAATCAGCGCTGAAGAAACACGAAGATGACGAGAATGGAATTGGCGCGCCTGTGAGTATCTTTCTATTTTTATCTTTCTTCTGTCTTTCGTTTTCTTCGCTGCGTTACTGTGCCTCAATGAGCGTGATCGTTCGAGATTTGGTCGATTTCTGTTTGGAGATTCGGTGTTTCTATGGTTCGATACTTTGATCGCTTGGATTTAGGGTTTTCTTTCTTTTATTTCCCATTTATTGTAAGGATTAATCCTTCCTCAGTTACGGTTGATTAGTAGTTCGGTTTCTTTCGGAGATTGCGAATGTGAATTGATGCAAAAATTGCCTTTTTTTGATGAATTTCAAAATGGATATTGATGCATTTGAGGACATTTTCAATGAGATTACAAGAGTTGGTGCTTGTGAAAATCAGCTTATTTGCTTATGGTTAATTGGGTTTGTCTTCCTGCAACATAGTGAAGAGAATGGATTTGAAGAACCCAACAATGGGGAAGAACTTTCATGGGATGATCTGGAGAGAGAAGCTGCTAGTAATATATCGTCTAAAAGATCTCAGGCTGGGAGATCTCACCAGCAAGACTCTTTTAGAAAAGGTATCTGAGCAAAGGGTTTCTTTCTGAAAATATTTTGTAAATGGTGAAACTTGTGCTAAAGTCATGGCAATGGTATCTGTTTTGTCATCATGCTGATGTTAGTGATGTTACAAGCATAAAATATTTGATTGATCAGGTGATGAAATTTCTGGAGACTTGTATGAACTCTGGAGGCAAGAACAGAACAGCATTGCCGCAAGACTAGACAAAGAGCTTAAATCCAGGTGGGAACTAGATGAACTGATTGAGGAACAGCTGAGCAGATACCAGTCCCATTACTACAAGTCCATGGTTTCAACGTCCTTAAAAGATGTCTCAAACCTCGTCCTGCCTACGTGGTTACCGCCTCATGAGCTGGCTGCCGTGGCCTGGCTTGGAGACTGGCGTCCCACCTCCATTCTTGACCTTGTCCGCATTCTGGCGGCTCAAAACCCCTCCTTCTCTCTGTCTGAGTCGAGTGAACGTGTGCTCTCTCAGCTTCTCCGTGAGATACGCATCGAGGAGGCCGTGATCGATGAGGAGTATGCAGAAATTCAGGCCACCTGTGTCCTGCACCTTCCTTTTTCCCCGCTCTGCAATACTCGGTCGCATGAAGAAGCTCTGCGTTCTGTGCAGGAGCTCTTTGGGAACATCCATAGAGTCATCTCAAAGGCACAACGACTCAGGTTTGCTTTCTTCTCCATCATAAATAAAAGAGATTTGTTGAGGATGAACGGAAACAAATAGCTGACACCAGATATAGTGATTAATGATGTCTTAGTTTTGTTGAGTTAAGTGAAAGCTTTGATCAGCATATATGAGAGAATGTTGAGATGATTGGCAGGTATAAAGTGTTGGAGCTGGTGATGAAGAAGCTGCTGAATCAAACGGATACAGCCGAGTTTGTGGTCGCATTTGCAGGGATTCAAGACGCCATCCACCAGTTTGGAGAGCAGAAGAAGCTAAGAAAGTATTACCCAGCGGTTCCTTCACCTCTGAAGGGATCAGGATCATCTAGTTGAGAGCTATGTTGGAGCAAAGCAAGTCCTAGTTCCAGAGTAAAGCTGTGATGTGGGATCTGCCTACTTGGAACTTGTGCCTTTTCATCAACTGATATATGTCATTTACTTTAGGGTGTACATGTTTAGCTGTCACCGACCATTATGTTCTTTGGAGGCATTGGTCATAACAATGATAAAACCAATTCTTGTGTCTTTATCAGCCTCTTCTTAACAGGCAAATTTGGGTCATCAGTTGTATATGTATTTCCAAAAACAGTCCCATGACTTTACTTGAATGGCCAATTGTTTGCAGCATGTGACCCATTTGGCCTGTTTTGCATCTTTAGGCCCATTTAGTTTCATATGTCTCTGACTTCGAAACCGTCGTTTTAGGATTAAAGCCTCATCTTCTCCCGCCTGACACGTCAATCTCCCACAAAAGATGCTTGATCAAAAATTGAGCCCTAATTCCTTGATCACAGCAGCGAAATTATTGTGAACATTGTTCATCGATGAATGATTGCTTAAACGAGATTACTCGCGCTTTGCTCCAGTCCGATGTTTCTTTTCCCCTTGTGAAAGAGATGCAGACCAATATTAAGAAGATCGTTAACCTCGACGATCTAGCAGCTGGCCATAACAAACGGCTGATCATTGAGCAGGTTTAGTTTTGCCGCAAGTCTATTTCCTGATTAATTTCCAAAACTCGGTGAAAAAGCGGGTTTAACTTAATTCTGTATTTTCTTTAGTTCTTGTCATATAATTAATCATGATTCTCTTTCAGGCTATCTTCAATGAACTCTGTAGGATGAAAGACCTGTCTTTGCTCCCAAAAAGGCCAAACCTAGTAGTGTAGTTATGTTCGTCGGGTTACAAGGTCGGGTCTCTGTAAGATGCTATACTGTTTTTTACCCGTGGTTGATTCTGGTGTGTAGATAGCGTACATGAGTGTTAAATTATTATTTTTTTTACTATGTTTAGGTGCTGGAAAAACCACAACATGTACCAAGTATGCTTACTATCATCAGAAGAAAGGGTACAAAACAGCTCTAGTGTGTGCGGATACTTTCAGGGCCGGTGTTTTCGATCAGCTCAAACAGAATGCCACCAAGGCTAAGATCCCCTTTTATGGAAGGTACTCAAATCAATCCCTTTTGCGTGTTATGAGCTCTGATTTTTGTCTATCCCCTTTGTATGAAGATTTATATCTTATTATTCAGCTTTCTTCTTGCTTTCTCGTAAGACCTTTGGTGTTTGCATTTCCAAAGGATATTAGCTCACTTACAAAAGTATCTGTTTAAAAATGATGGTATTTGTGATGGTAGAGGTCAATGTACAAAGTTTATGAAATTGTTTGGTTTAGATTCGAGGTTTATTTTAGGTCAGTAGCTGCAAAAATCTGCACTCAAAAGGACTATGGTTACTTACTATGTTTCTTTATCAATCATCTAGTAGGTTTCATCATATTTATCCAGTTCTTTCTGTGCCACTTACCTTTTGAGTTTCTTTAAACCCTTTTTTCTTGCGTTGTCTTTTGTTTGCACCTTGGGAAATTCTATCAAAGGATCTCACATCTTTGTCAAAGAGCTCAACAGTTTAAATAAATGGATCTTTTGAGGTCTTGTGTTATCTTCTGTTTCTATTTGCAATTACTGCGAATACGCTATTTGTAGTTTTGGATTGACTTCAATGACGGTAACAGAGGGAAATGAAAAAATAAATAAGATATTCTGGATTAAAACTATTCTCTAGAACGTAGTGTTGTAGCATAATGTGCTAATGCTGAGAGAAAAAATGCTAATTTGTGATTCTTTGCAGCTACACGGAATCCGATCCTGTGAAAATTGCTGCTGAGGGAGTTGATAGGTTCAAGAAAGAAAAATGTGATCTTATTATTGTTGACACCAGTGGTCGCCATAAACAAGAAGCTTCTCTCTGTGAAGAAATTCTTCAAGTTGCTGAAGCAACGGTATGCTGTGTTGTCTTGAAGTCTTTTCTTTGTTCCTGGTTGGTGTTGCAGGCTCTGATCATGGTGTCTTCTCACTGTACAGGAACCAGATCTTGTTATATTTGTTATGGATAGCAGTATTGGTCAAGCTGCATTTGATCAAGCTCAAGCATTTAAGCAAACTGTATCTGTTGGAGCTGTTATTATTACTAAGATGGACGGCCATGCCAAGGGGGGTGGTGCTCTTAGCGCGTAAGTATCTTGTAGCTACTGAGTCTTCATGTGTACTCAAAATGGTCAATATGAAAATCTTGCTGGCTTTTCTAGTTGAACAAGTAAATCTGAGCCATTTTCATCTTGTTAGTGTAGCAGCTACAAAAAGTCCTGTGATATTCATTGGAACAGGAGAGCATATGGATGAGTTTGAAGTGTTTGACGTCAAACCATTTGTCAGCCGTCTCTTAGGTAACTTTCATGGAATTTATTGAAGATTAGCAGCATTGTGAGGAGTAATCAGAGGCTCCCAATGGGTTATTGACTCAGAATCTTGATAATGTCTATGTACAACAGGAAAGGGTGATTGGTCTGGACTCGTGGATAAACTACAAGAGGTGGTACCTAAAGATCTACAGCATGAACTTGTAGAAAATCTCTCTCAGGGTAACTTTACGTTGAGAACTATGTACGACCAGTTCCAGTGTTCTCTGCAGATTCCTCTTAATCAGGTCAGAATCTCTTGTTCAATAGTAGCCTGTACCATGTGCTGATGATTAAACAAAACAATTGTGTTGGTTGTGTAGCTTTAATCGATGCTGCCTGGAATTAGTGCTGAATTGATGCCGAAAGGACATGGTGACGAAAGCCGAGCGAAGAGATACATGACAATGATGGATTCTATGACAAATAAAGGTGAGAACAATTTGTTATATGGAGAAAGTTTCTCAGTATAATTCATAGTAGTTTTGAGCAAAATGTGATGGGTGGTTGTGCAGAACTGGACAGCTCAAACACAAAGGTGTTTAACGAGTCAAGGATAATGCGGATAGCGAGAGGGTCAGGGAGGTTAGTAAGAGAAGTGATGGAGCTGTTGGAAGAGTACAAGAGGATAGCAAAGACTATGAAAGGGATCAAGATCCCAAAGAATGGAGACATGAGCAACAAGGTCATACCGCCTCAGATGCTAAAACAGATGGGCGGCATGAGCGGTCTGCAGAGTCTGATGAAGCAGATGGGTTCGGCTAAGGACATGATGGGAATGTTTAGTGGCGGAGACAAGTAGTTTCTATCTTTCTTGCACACAGTGCACGGAGGTCACTGGTGAAAATTTGTTTACATATACCTTATAAGAAACTCGATTTATATATATGTAACTAGGAAGAAGATAACATGTGTGTTTAACACATTCTAGTGACTTAAAAAACTAATATGTTTGATGGTAAAGTGTCTTAAAAAATAATTTTAATTTATTGTTGGTAATTCAAAAACATGCAATCAATTAGGTCTTTTGTCAATAATATCACAAGCCAAGCTAAACATTATAATATTCAAATTATGTACCAATAATAATTTTTCATTTATGGTGTTTTCTAGAATAATAACAACATATAGATGATATATTGGAATTTAATAATAAATGTTAATGGGATAAGATGTAATCATTTACGAGTAATTTAGACATTGTTCTTTTTTTTTTTTGTCACAAGAGAATGTTATTGAACAAACCAAAGGTTGGTTACAAGGCCTAAAAACCCACGCTGATTCTACAGAATTAAAAAAGTTAAGCCCAACAAGGGTCTACCAAAATTACATCGAAAGCAAAAGGAGTTTAGACTTTTGGACTCTATCGAAATCACGAGTCATCTTGAGATTACAACTGCAACACGTGTTGATGAGTCATCAGAAGGGTACCGACATCAATCTCCGTCGCCGACGAGCACCGAATCCGGTGAGGAAAGCATCGCCGAAACATCGCACGAAGAATCCTTGTTTACCACCGAATTTGATCTGAACGGAGCTCAATATAAAAAGACGACAAAAGGGTATCATAATATGCTTCGGAATATTCTTCAATCCTTTGGACAAGATGTAATAATCACTTGAACTATTTCCTGCAAATCAAGGTTTCTAAAGACACAAGTCGGAGATATTAATCTTAAGCAAACGTCACCTAAAGACTAATTACCAACTCAGATCCATAGTATTATTATAAAAAAAACAAAAAGGAACCTAAAGCAATCGGTATACAACCGATCGACGGCGAGGAAGGATAAAAGCCAGCCAAAACCGCTTATGGAAGCCGGATTTGCCGGACAAAAACCGGCTATCTCCCCTAACGAAGCTGGAGGATACCGGGCAAAAGCCCAAATCACTTGGGACGGCTAAACGTCGGATAAACATCCGATCGGCAACAGCAAGAAGTGTTTCTCTCTCTAAAGGATACGGGAGAGAGAAGAGAGAAAACTTCTATTAGATGTTGTGATTGGTCTTTTTTCAGATATTGTTCTTTTACTTGAGAATAATAATAAACAAATAATATATTTTTTTGGTACTAATATACTGCGTTAAAAAAATTTGTATTTCCAAAACTTTGATTGTGTTGTGTCTATTAGGAAATTTAGAGGAGTTAATAAATGTAAAAAAAAGAGAGAGAGAAATAAAGGGACCAGATTAAAGGGTGGGATGGTAGATCAACGGCGGAGAGAGGGAGAGAGGCTCATCGTCCTGATTATATATATAAGTGAGAGAACAGAAAAGGGCCGACGGAAAAAAAGCTCAAAACCCTAAAACTGAAAGTCCAATTCGATTTGCTCTTTAGCGTTTCGGAGAATCAGAGCCCATTACACGCGTTTCAGAGTCTTCCTCTGTGTGCGCGTAAGTACCCACTTTCTCTCTTCTTCGTTCCGATTTTGCGATTTCGTGTTTTTTCTCTGGACAAGTTTTTGGCGTTGTGTCGCGTTGTGTCGTATGTTTTATCAGAATTGTTTGTTTCCGGGTCTAATGTGTCTCTTCTTCGTTCGTCTGTTGAATTGTGTCAAAAGCAAACAACTTTATGGATAACTGATTCGATGTTACCTTGTCTGTTACAGGACTATGGACACTAATCCTTCAGAGCTAGTTGATGTCGACGTTGTTGCTCTTGAGATGGATTCTGATACACAACAACCCACCAAGCGTAGGAAGAAGAAGAGGTCTGAGGTGTGGAATCACTTCACCACGGAAACTGTTAGTCCTGACACTAAAAAAGCTCGTTGCATGCACTGCAACAAATCCTTTGCCTACATGACTGCCAATAAGTGTTCAGGAACTAGCCACCTTAAGCGTCACATTGACTTTGGTATTTGTGCAAAGAACGGAGAGATCAATAAGCTCTCGCAAATCAAGGAGGAAACCACCTCGTCCCCTCCCAAGAAAAGTCAGATTTCTTCTCCAGAGACCAAGGATGTGAAACCCACTGCCTGCCTTCCCAAGAAGCGTCAGATACCTTCTCCTAATGTCCCTCTAGATCAAGATCGCTGTAACCTTGAGATGGCTAAGATGATCATCATGCATGATTACCCTCTTCATATGGTCGAGCATCCTGGTTTTGTTGGTTTCCTGCAGGCTCTTCGTCCCCAGTTCACTGTGGCAAGCTTCGACACCATTCATTGTGATTGTGTCGCTATGTTTTTGTCCCAAAAGCAGAAAACTTTGGACTTTATTGCAGAGATTCCTGGGGGAGTTAATCTTACAGTAGATTTGTGGTCTTCAAAGCAATCAGTGGGTTATGCTTTTGTGGCAGGACATTTTGTTGATAAAGACTGGAATTTGACTCACCGGCTTCTAAATGTTGCTGTTGTGGCTTCTCCTGATTCTGATTTTGCGTTAAACCAACCTGTAACAGCTTGCTTATCCGACTGGCACTTGGAGGGGAAGATTTCGAGCATCGCTGTCAGCCAATCATTAGTAAATAAAACTTCCATTGATAATCTCAGAGGTTTCTTGTCTTTCAGGAACCAGCATGTGTTGAACGGTCAGTTGTTGATGGGGAAATGCTATGCTCGCCTCCTAAGCAGTATGGCACAAGATGCACTCACAGCTGAGCAGCTTCAAGAGCCCATAAAGAAAGTCCGAGATAGCATCAAGTATGTTCAAACCAGCGAGGCTTGCGGAGACAGATTTGATGAACTGAAGAGACGGTTTCCAACCCCTTTGCCTTACAAAGATCTTCTCATTGATAACCAAACGAGATGGGACACAAGTTACAACATGTTGTTGGCTGCCTGTGAACACAGACAAGTGTTTTCTTGTTTGGAAACCTGCCATCCTGAGTACAAAATATCAATATCTCCTGAAGAATGGATAAAGATTGAGAGTCTTTGCTCATGCTTGAAGGTTATTTTTGAAGCGGGTAAGGCCTTGACTGGGCCAAACCAGTTGACAACAAACGATTTGTACCATGAGATGACAAAGCTTCAGCTAGAGCTGAGCCCCACTGCCATGGGTGAAGACCCGGATGTCAGAAACCTAGCAAAATCATTGAGGGAAAAATTCGACCAGTACTGGAGAGGATGCTTCTTGGTTTTGGCAGTTGCAGTGGTCATGGATCCCCGGTTCAAAATGCACCTCATTAAGTTCACCTTCAATAACTCGTATGGTGAAGATGCAGAAAGATGGACTAAGTCTGTCGATGATGCAGTCCATGATCTGTACCTTAACTACAGTGAACAGAACCTGTTGGATGCTTATGTGGATCATGGCTTTTCGGAAATAGAGGTGGCTCAGGAATCTCACTTCCATCAAGACATAGCTGAATATGCCAATACAGGGAATGGACAATCAGGTGATGAGACAAGTCCACAAGTAGAGGAAACCACGGAGTCACATCAACAGGAGAGACAGCTTAAGGCAGAGAAGCAGAATGTGGTAGGGCTTTGGGAGGGAGTGAGTGAAGAGAGTCAGCTAACAGAAGAGGACCAGCAACATGGTGATGATTCTCAAGCACATGCAATGGCAGAGGAAGACCATCCGTCATTTCCGGTTGACGTGCTTCTCGAGGAAGGTTCTACCCTCATCACAATAGGAGAGTCATTGTCAGACTTCGAGATGTACATGTCAGATATGAAAACGGAGCTGGATCAATACCTGGAAGAAAATTTGATTCCGAGGTCAGAAGACTTTAACGTTCTGAGCTGGTGGAGGGTCAACAGCACCAACTACCCAACCCTCTCAAAGATGGCTGCGGATCTTCTCTCGGTCCCCTTCAGCACCGTCTCTCCTGATTCAGTGTTCGACACAGAGGTGAAGCAGATGGACAATTACAGGACCTCTCTTCCTGGTGAAACCTTGGAGGCCCTCTTGTGCACCAAGGACTGGTTAAAAAATGGAACTTTATGAAAAAGTGAAAAGGTTTCAATTCTTTCTTCTTCTTCTGGTTTTTTTTAGCTTAGTGTAATCAGCATTAATCAGTATTGAAATTAGTTACTAAGAAGGCTTCTTTGTATCTCCTAACCTCTCATTTCTTTTTGTCCCACTCATACTTGGTACTCTCTACAAAGGGAATAATTGAGAGGGGGATTAAAGTGTAAAGTGAAGAAGTCCGGGGATCTAATTGTAATATCAATGTTCTACACTCATTAAGATGTGGATTGGATGGATTCTGAATCAATAATAGGTGGCCAGGTGGGTGGAATATTTGTGGTGTTGACATCATTTTACAATCGATCAATTTTAAAAATTTGGTGTACTGCTTTTAAAGGTTTAACGTTGTAAGTATCGTAAGCAGGAGAAAGAGAGTGTATAACTCGTGCTCATTATGTGTATAGAGACATTAAGTAGGTGTGGTTTGTTAAAAGAGACAATTGACTTTGAGTGGGTGACCACTAAAAAACACACTGCAGTCCAGAGTCCAGTGAGCAGAGGATTCGAACCGTTGATTATTAAAAGAAGCGAAACCAAACAAAACGGAGTCGGACAAAGAGGTCAGTGTCCCCACCACTCATAGTTGCCACGTGGGTGAATCTGAACCATCACCTGGTCTCGGTCGAATTGCATGGGACTGTGATTGATTTGGGGCCTTGTTATTAAAACTTTAATGTGAACATCAAAATCACATGTAACGTTCTAATAAGAGATAGAGATAGAAAGAGATTTGGCGTTAGCGACAAGGAGAGGCCAGGATTGGTTATAAATCTCAAAACCAAAGCCTTAACCCCATCCAAAACCCTTATCTGTCTTTTTTTTTTTTTCTTTTATATATCCTCTCCTCACCTTTCTTTCTCAAGGCTCTTTCCTGATAGCTCTGGTCTGCTCCAAGGTACCTACCTACCTACCTCTGTCTGATTATTCGGATTTGGTTTAATGGAGCTTGTGTTCACTTTTTATTTGATCTCTAATTATATATGTGTGTGTGTGTTTGGATGAAGGGGATCAATGGCACCGAGGTCAAGCAAAGGGAAATCAAACAACAGAGGGAAAGGAGGAGATAAGAAGAAGAGAGAAGACAAACTGTTGGCGCCGAGTCTTGTTGAGATCACAGTCACCACTCCGTACGAAACTCAAGTGATACTCAAAGGAGTTTCTACTGACAAAATCATTGATGTGAGAAGGCTTTTGGCATCTCACGTTGAGACTTGCCATTTCACCAACTATTCTCTCTCCCATAAGGTATTTTTTTTTTTTTTGTTTTGTCAATCATCATCAGTTTTCTTCACCAAAGAAGAAGCTGTGACTGATAGATATTGGTTGGCCTAATGTGTAGGTGAAAGGGCATAAATTGAATGACAACATCCAAGTGCTTTCCCTCAAGCCTTGTTTCCTCCGCATGATTCCAGGTAATTAAAATTCTTCTTCAAGATTAGTGTAATCCAACACAACATTCGAATTAACAATAAACCAAAACAAAAACACAACATTCCCATTTCCATTTCTTTTGTGGCACAGAAAGTGTCAGTGATAGTGAGATATGTATATCACTACTAATCATTGTTTAATTGTTTAAAAGACCATTTACTTCACTTATTTATCGCTGCCCTTAGAGTTTGTGTTATTTACCGTTATGCCACAGAGGAGTATCTAGAGGAAAGTCAGGCGTTGACTCAGGTACGGAGAGTCATAGACATCGTAGCATGCACCACCAGGTTCTTCTCCGCTTCCCCCAAATCCCGCAACAAATCCATAGCCGCCGGCAATGCCACTCAGTCGCCGGAGCCGGACGGCCTCGACATGGTCGCCATCCACCCCACTCCCAAAATTTCTCAGTTCTACAAGTTTTTCTCCATTCCTCACCTCTCTCCTCCGATTCTTCGTAAGTTTAACACTCAACACTCACTAGTTCTCTATGGTTGATACCCATTTGCACAATTTGTTGATTTCTAATTTCTCCGTCATCCGCAGATTTGAAGAAAGTTGACGGTGAAGAAGCTGGAGAGAAGCGTAATGGTGACTATTTTGGACTCAAGGTTAAGATTTGCAATGGGAAGGTTATACATGTGATTGCTTCGGTGAAAGGGTTCTTCGCCGTTGGAAAGCAGCTCACACATTGCCACTCCATTGTTGATTTGCTTCAGAATGTCAGCAATGCTTTTGCCAAGGTTATCTCAATGTTTTGGTTTTCTGTCTCAAGCTAGATTCTTTCCTTATAAATGGCTTTGCACTTTACAAATTTAGCTACTTCTTCCACAAAGAAACTAACTTTATATTGTATTGGGAATTGATGCAGGCATATGAATCTCTAATGAAAGCTTTCACTGACCGGAATAAGGTGGTTGTCTATTTTTCTTTGGGAATGATTTTGTTTCGATAAGTCTGTTTAAGCTCAACAATTTTGAAGTTTGGCTTTATTCGCTTTTCAGTTTGGCAACCTCCCGTGTGGATTACGCTCAAATACATGGCTTGTACCTTCTCCTGTTTCTGAGTCTGCTTCTCCTTTACCAGTAGAGGATGAACATTGGGGCGGGAATGGTGGAGGTCAGGGGAGAAATGGTGAATATGATCATCGACCTTGGGCGGCACAGTTTTCTGTATTAGCTACGCTTCCTTGCAAGACTGAGGAGGAGAGAGTTATTCGAGATAAGAAAGCGTTTTTGCTTCATAGCCAGTTTATCGATACCTCGGTGCAAAGAGCTGTTAGAGCCATTTGCAACTTGATGGATACTAATCAACACACAAGTGGGACTACTGACTTACCTGCTGGCTTGATCCTTCTTGAGGATCATGTTGGGGATTTGTCTATTATTGTAAAACGCGATATAGCCACCCTTGACCCAAAGCCTGAAGCTACCTTTCAAAATGAAGCATTTGTTCTATCATCCCAGGAACTTGCCGAAAAGAATTTGCTAAAAGGGATAACAGCTGATGAGAGTGTGATTGTTCACGTAAGTATTTTCACATCCTTTTCTCAGCTATCTACATGAAAATGTTATACGTCTTGAACTAGCTATACTTTTAGCTCCGTTACCATAAATAAATAAAGGCAGGGCCTAAAGTGAAAATCTGGTTTCTTTGCTCTTACATTCACCACCAAGAGATTGTTTGTGTCAATCAGCAATTTGCTATGTGTAAGGAATAACTTTTTCTGCACTATAAGGTTCCCGTTAACATCACTTATGACATCAAGTAGCAGTTTTCTTAGATGACTGAAATAGAGTGTAGCTGTGATCATCCACAGTGCATTTACTTACTAGTCATGCATGTATGTTTTCTTCTAAAGATTATAACCAGTGAAGAAAAAAATGTCCAGGATACTCCGGCTTTAGGCACAGTTATCGTAAGACACTGTGGATATACTGCGGTGGTAAATGTCAAGGGTAAAACTCAGAAGGCAATATCTGATTTCCGTGATATTTTGATCGATGACCTGCCGGATGGAGGAGCTAATGCTCTTAACCTTAACAGGTTTGTGCCCCTAAGATTTTTAATAATATACGTATTTTGCACATCGTACATGTTCATATTAAAAATTCTATTTTGTTGTGGGCCTCTCTTGCATTCACTACTTTTTGAGTATTAATTCTTAAATGAATTTAGCAAAGGTTATTCCTGACTTTATCTATAACATGGCGGTGTTGTATAAAATTAGAAATAGAGTGACTGTTAACAAAAGTAACAAAGTTTCTCACAGTTTGTTCTCATCCCTTGAGAAAAGACACACATGTCAGCATCTAACTGGTTGTTTTCCACCTTGCGTGTTAAATTTATTGCAGCTTAAGGGTTCAGCTTCGCAGGTCCCATAGTGTTAGAATATCTGGAGAGAACCAGCCCACACTGCTTGATTCGGATGATTTAGAGTCTTATAGATGTATTGTAGAGGATTTAGTAAAAGTTAACTTAACAAAGTTAGAAGAAAAAAGGGTATCTTCTGTAAGACCCATCAGATGGGAGCTCGGTTCTTGCTGGGTTCAGCATCTACAAAAGAAAGAAACAGACGTCTGTGGAAAGCCTGCAACTAATGATGAGACTGAACTTTCAATTAAAGGCTTGGGAAAACAATATAAAGTTCTAAAGAGCAAAAGTAAGAAATCAGAATCTATAAGTACCGTGAAGGAAAAGGAAAAAGATATCAGACTACGCGAGTTAAATGGGGAGGCTGATCTTGGGCAGAAAAGCATTGATGGACACTTTACTGAACTGAAGGAGCTGCTTTCTGAAGAAGCTTTCTCTCGTCTACAAGAAACTGGAACTGGTCTCCATTTAAAGGTTAGCTTTTCTTCTAATTTGCACTATTAATTAGGAGAGATAAGTTCCCGGTTTTGTTTATGTATGATTTCTTTTCTATTCTCTGATGGACACACTGGTGCTTACTCGGATATTTTTCGTGATACAGTCAAAAGAAGAGCTTACCAAGATGGCATATGGTTACTATGATGAAATTGCTTTGCCAAGGCTGGTATGTGTTTATTTAGACAAACGGATATAACTTTCTGAAAATATCTATAACCATACTTATCAAGTAATCATTGTAATGGTTTATTAGGTAGCAGATTTCGGGTCACTGGAGCTTTCTCCAGTTGATGGTCGCACAATGACTGACTTCATGCATATAAGAGGACTCCAAATGCGTTCTCTAGGACATGTGGTAAGAATGCTTTACCTTGTTAATAGTGCCTTACCCTGTTGCCAAGTTATTTTGATTTTGAAAGAATAAAGCTAATTTGTTGATCTAAAGGGATTTTGTTGAGTCAGAAGTATTTTATGGTAAATAGTTAATGAGTATTTCGGTCCACTGTACCTCTATGAATCAGGCTAAAATTGCTGAGAAACTTCCTCATATACGGTCCCTCTGTATTCATGAGATGATTACAAGAGCTTTCAAGCATCTTTTTAGGGCGGTTATTGCATCTGTCAATAATATGGCTGAGATACCTGTGGCAGTAGCTGCTTCATTAAATTTCATGTTTGGCCACCGTGAATTGGAAGGGTCTGATAGGATCCCCAGTGAAGAGTATTGTCTCAGATTACAGTGGCTACAGAAATTTCTCTCCAGAAAATTTGGTTGGATACAGAAAGATGAGTTCAATCATTTGAAAAAGTTTTCTATCCTCCGAGGACTCTGCCAGAAGGTAAAGTAGCTCTGTGTTAATGTACTGCTGCTTGTATCATAATTAGAGTTCTCTATTGATTTCATGCTTTTACAGGTTGGGTTAGAACTAGTTGCAAGAGATTATGACTTCGATTCTACAAATCCCTTCACGAGCTCTGACATTTTTGGCTTGGTACCTGTGTGCAAGGTTGGTCTCTCCATGATACAATATTAGTTTGACTAATAGCAATTCAGTCACAATCTTTTATTTATTTACCGCTGCCTGGATTTTGGTCCGTAGAAATATGGTTCAAATGCTAGACAATAATCTTTAAGATATATGTTCGTTTGAACAGCATGTGCTGTGTATTTCATCTGACGGAAGGACACTCTTGGAGTCATCAAAACTTGCCCTTGACAAAGGAAAACTTGATGATGCTGTGAACTATGGAACAAAGGTGTCTTTGACTCATTTCTTTTGATAGCGACGTGATTATCATTCTTTAACCAACTTAATTGTTATCCAAGAGATGTTGACTTCTTGCATTTCCTAGGCATTAGTCAAGATGATTGCTGTCTGTGGGCCTTATCACAGAAATACTGCTTGTGCGTACAGCCTTCTCGCAGTTGTACTATACCACACTGGCGATTTTAACCAGGTATCATCATCGCTTATCTTCTTCCCAAATGGAAACTTTGATTATTGGGTCAAGTAACAAATAGAGAGTTTGATGTTCTCCTTCTAGGCACTGTATATAAATAATTTGATGAGAGGCACCGTTATCTCTGATGTTTTATCCTCTCTTGATCAGGCAACAATATATCAGCAGAAGGCTCTAGATATAAATGAGAGAGAACTTGGTCTCGACCATCCCGACACTATGAAAAGCTATGGGGATCTTTCTGTATTTTACTATCGTCTTCAACACTTTGAGTTGGCACTAAAGTAAGTGATGCATGATGATCTCTTATAGTTATATGGTCATTAAAGATGGAACCCTACTTTGCTTTTCCATCACCTTTGTCTTGTTGCCTTGGAATGAGTTATGATCCAACCTTTCTTCTGATTGGCTCCTTTAAATTTATCTGCCACCCTAACCATTTTTGTTGTTATCTGTTTATAGATATGTGAACCGTGCGTTATTTCTCCTTCACTTCACTTGTGGGCTATCTCACCCAAATACTGCTGCCACATATATCAATGTGGCTATGATGGAAAAAGAAGTAGGGAATGATCACCTAGCTCTAAGATACCTGCATGAAGCTCTAAAGTGCAATAAAAGATTGCTAGGAGCTGACCATATTCAGGTTCCTCCCTTATCTTTCTTGCCTCAATTTTCGCCCTTTCTTAAACTAATTATGCTTTCGTGATTTACTTTGCCAGACTGCGGCAAGCTATCATGCAATAGCGGTGGCTCTATCTTCCATGGAAGCACATTCATTGAGTGTGCAACACGAACAAACTACACTTCAGATACTTACAGCAAAACTTGGATCAGATGACCTTCGTACACAGGTGATTGATTTGCTCCTAGTTCATTCGTATAAAAATCTCAGCCGGATATTAAATTCTTACTAGCAAAGTAACAAAGTGAATGTTTTGAACTCTGAGACATACATGTTTTGTTTTCTCCATTTGTCTCTCACAGGATGCTGCTGCATGGCTCGAATATTTTGAATCAAGAGCCATAGAGCAGCAGGAAGCAGCACGAAATGGAATCCCAAAGCATGATGCTTCCATCGCGAGCAAAGGCCACCTTAGGTACTAAAATGGAAACTCCTAGAACACATAAAGGATATGGTAATTATTTCATTGGCACCAAAGTCCGACCTTTCTTGCAGTGTATCAGATCTCCTGGACTATATAAGTTCTGATCCAGACACCAAAGGAAGTGTTGCTCACAGGAAACATCGGCGTGCCAGGGTAATTCCTAAACTTCTAAGATCCTTGTTTTCCTCAGGTCACTCAGTTTGGATTTTGTTGATCAAACAATAACCTGAATAAATACCTGTCAATTGTGTAGAACTCTGCTTGAAAAGGTTGAACTCAAACTATGCTGCTTGGTATTCTAGATGTATGTCTAAACTGGAATATTGATCTAAAGGCATTCCATGCGCTAAACTGAATAAAACATGTGAGATGTTGAAACGAAAAGAATGAGATGGATATATCACTCTAAGATTTCCTATCAAAGGTTCGTGACATTACTTCTGTTTCGACAGGCATTACAGGTCAATGATAGTGTTGCACCAGTTGATGATGACGCCCATAGAGTTGATTCTCAGATTGGCATTGTTGCATGGAACGACGTGGCAGAAGCGGATGCCATTAAGAGTAGGACCGAAGTAAATGATCCTAATGCAGTTGTTGATGAGATCAAAATGGAGACAGGTGATATTGTAGTACACAGGCTAAATGTAGACAGCCAAACTGTGGAAGAGTCAACTTTAGATGAGGGCTGGCAAGAGGCATACTCAAAGGGGAGATCCGGAAATGGTGCTGGAAGGAAATTCAGACAAAGGCAGCCTGATCTTATAAAAAAGAGAATGTCGCTTAATAAACATTTCAACAGGAGACAGGATGTTCAGCAACAGAATATATCTTCCTTGCAGAAAACAAGCAAAAGACCCTCCCTCTCTAAGTCATCATCCCAAAGGGCTATGAAGAATGCAGAGATAGATGTCAGTACAAATACAACTAAACCACAGCTAATGGCTTCTGGTTCTGCTGCTGTGACCAGTACTACTTTGGCTTCAAAGTCTCTCTCATACAAAGAGGTTGCTTTGGCACCACCAGGTACAGTTCTGAGGCCAATGTTAGAAAAATTAGAACTGAATTTGGAGAGAACTGAAACTCAGATATACAGGACTTCAAGTGCGTCAACTGGAGAAGAAAGCAAGTCTGACACTGTAATGTTGGATTTGCCAATCGAAGGCACAGAGCTTCCCTGTGAAAAACAAGAATCACAAGAAAGTGCTGAGTCAGTGGAAAATTTAACGTCAGAGTCTGAAGGGGATTTGGGGTCCTATTGTGGGCAAAAGGCTTCTGATATAAGCCAGACAAAGCTATCAGCCGCTGCAGAGCCTTACAACCCTGGAGGTTTCTTGTTTATTGATCTGCAAAGCTCAGCAGCAACAACAGGCAACTACCCGATTATGGTTGCAGACCCTATTTCCTGGGCTGGAGTTTCATGTGGGATTCACTCACCACCATATTATAGTGCTAATCACTCCAATGGAGTTGGGATGCCAAGAAGCATGAATCCAGATGCACCAGAGTTTGTTCCAATGAGATCCGTGCAGAATAGCTCACAACATGCAGGTGGAGATGCAAGTGTATCCGTCGACTCCAGCAGTTTCCTAAAGGCTGAGAAAGAAGCAGTTGCTTTGAAGAAGCGAGAGCTAGCCAGCTTCATAGTAAAGTCATCCCAGAAGGAGGTTCCGGCTGCTCTGAGGAAAACGAGCCCAAAAGCTGAGTCAGGAGATACCTCCGCAAAGCATAGTGCATTAACCGAGATAGTTTATAGTAGAGAAGAGGAGAGTGGAGCGAATGCAAATGAGACAAATGGAGGTGAAGGGTTTGTGATTGTGGCAAAGAAGAGGAGGAGGAAGAACAAGCTGCGGCTTACAAATGTTGGGGCTGGGCTGTACCATCAACCGTCGTCAGTTTGTGCATAATCTGATAAGTGGGTTTCATCAGCTTAACAAAATAAAGCTTCTTGTGAAGCAGAGAATATTCTCATCTCATTTGGTTTATTGGCTTTTTTCTTGGGATTAGGTAGTTGGTTGCTTCTACTCTTATGCTGCACTCTCGATGCAGCTTGACCCTGTTGGGTTGTAAATTTTTCGTCGCTATTTTTGTGAATCGTTTCTGAGTTCGTGGAATCGTTTGTTGCATCCACACTTGAGCTTTTTTAAAAGGTCTATTTACAGTCCAGAAATCTACAGCAAAGAGTTCTTAAAATGTGGTGGACAATCTGAATCTCTTACCAGTTTTTTCCAGAACCAATTGGGAAGGATCTGATACTGTCCATTTTGTGGTCGGTTCAAAATAAAAACTTGTCAGAAAGCGAAGACAGCTTAGTGGCGCTTAATCCTACATGCAGAGGTTTTGATTTGGCTCGATCTCCTAACCGGCTGTACTTCTCCATTGAAATTTGAGTGTCTCAGATGTTTAGCAGCATCGGAATTGTGAGATCAATAATCCAGTTTAGTTTTGACAAGGAAACTTTTTCTATAAAAAATCATCATCGAAGCAATCATTCTCATTGAGCGAAAAAAAAAGCTATGGACTTCCGAGTTTCTGAAGCAACTATTGTTGTTAGCAAGATTTATGCAAAGCTCCAATTTATGTGATTCCATAGGAAGGAAAACACTTCGCAACAAATATATACATGCTCAAAATAGAGTACTTTAGATTAGATTCTTCGGAAAAAATAAAATAAAAGACACACCAAACAGGCTGCTGACCAAAGTTTTAGACAACTAGTTTCCTGAAAATAGCTTAAATGGTAAATTACCAAACAAGCAGATGACCGAAAACAAGAAAACACACATACATATCTCCATAGCTTTATATGAGCCACCACGTCCCTTCTCCATTCTATCTGCTACTAGTAGTCGTAGTACTATCTTTTGTTTTTTTCCCTCCCTTATAACTGCAACAACAAGAAGCACAATCCAACATCCACTTTCTATTACTCTGTTAATATCCCCCGTAAATAAAATATAGTTTTGAATCACTTACCTAGGATTTTCAGGAACAATTTCGGCCTTAAAAGTGTTCTGTAACAAAGCTTGGAGAAGTAACATAGCCCTGCGCCAAGGAGTCCCTAAACTCTCTTCTTAAATTCTCACAAATGTTATCACTTGCTAAAGGTCATCTCCGAGTACCTGCATATACACCAATGACAACTCAAGCGGCTATTCTTTTTCATGTCAAATTTCACAAAACTTCATCTACATGAATCCTATATGATATTCGACCTTAAGTCTACGAATGCAGTTACTTCAAGTCAAATCCGTAGACATAATGCATCATGATTCCTAATCCTAAATGGTTGCATTACTTCCATATCAACCAATGATCAATTTGCCAGGGTAGGTTTGAGTTAACTTCAAAAGCTCACCTACGAGGCTGCTTGCTTGGGTTGTTGTTTTGCCGTTGTGAAACCCCATTCTCTGCAACCTCTACATAGATGGAAAGTAGCTTAACTTCAGAAATAATGATCCCACAATCAAATCTCATTTTAGCAGCTGAATCTCTCCTTCATTAGCCATTTCGTGATTCTAATAGGAAAGACAAATTTTGAAAAAGTACTTCTTGAAACACCATTCATCATACATATTTTTATGTAATAATTACCCATCACATCCAACCACATAGTCTTCCATTATGATTTCTTTATTTTAATGGAAATTCCTTCCCTAATAAGCGTAATACTATACACAAACACCTGATGTGTAACCATTAGAATTATAACAGAAAGAGCAAGTTTTGCAATATGACTAACCAGGTCTTTTCGTGGGTTTGACGAGGTCATTAAGAGTATTTGCGCTATTATTGTCTTTGCTGCAAAAATGGTAATTGGATTAAGCAAGCTAAAAATGCATGTTTTGCAAATAAAAATATATGCCAAGCATATGTTGTAGGTTTAAATAAGAGAAAAACACAATGCAAATTTGCGTGAGTTAAAGCTTTACTCTATTAAGATTGTTTTTGCATTCAAAACATTTTAGAGAACGAAGGCAATTAATCTCTCAACCTGGAGGATCCCGCAGAGGAAGGTAACGAAGAAGGTAACCCTGGCTTGTTTGCTTGATTAGCCGCATATAGTGGACTGTATGAAGCCCCTAAAGCTCCTGGACCATTCAAAACTGGCATCCTGCCAATCATATAAACATATCTCAGCACCAAGCAGGCGAAAGAACAAAATCAGGAACTAGATATAGATGAAGAGCCCATAGCATTCAAACAAAACAGTATCCAGAATGAAAGTAACCATTCTAATGATATTACACCATCACAGGTTTTGTTTTTCAAGCATGTAGACCCGCACAAATGTGATTAAAGGGACAACATATAAAAAACACAAATAACACGAAAAATTAGCTAACAATATGCACAAATCTAATTTTTAATTCTTTGAAATGCTTAAAACCAAGAACTTCTGAAAACTAGTATCCACAAAGTTCATCGAGAAGGGGAAGGAGTTAGCTTACCATGTCATCTCCGGATTTCTAACACCATTTTCAGACTGGACATATCCTGGATAAGCCATTCCTAAAGTCGGAACCCCACCATGCTGACCACCAAATTGCATAACTGCATTTCAACTTGAATTTAATCAGAAAACAATGCAATAATCTACGGAAATAACAATAGCAAGCAGATTATCCTCAAGCTGGTACAACATGACTCTGAAAAGAGTATATATGGACAACCAGGCCTAAGTGGCTCGGCATCAATAGCTTTCAATTCCAAAACCATGCATGATTTGATTCTGAAATTTCTTTCAACTCATCCATTTTACAAAGAAAAGCGTCATCTAAAAAACTTACCAGGCAGAAAAGTATGGAAATTAGAATTGTCCGCAGATGCCAGACTTTCTGGCCGCCCCATCATTTGGGATCCACTATACATAAAAGAGCCGCTTCCACTAGGCCGGATAGTCTCTTTTCCTTTAGCAATCAATGAACCTGTTTTCGATGCAGATTCTACTTCACTAGGAGGATACTGATTTCTTGATAAGCTAGTTTTCTGGGGAGAGGAAGACAATGATCTGACAACAGCAGAGTGCTGATCAAAACCCTGGCCAGAAGGTCTAATAAAGCTTTGGCCAGTGCCTTTTGAATCTCCATTGAGTTGCATTTGTGATGAAAATCTGTCACCTTGACTATGAGATTGCGGGTAAAACATGTTCCCAGCAGCAGGTGCACCTCTACCTTGATTAGAGGACTGATGAGTCTTGGCAGTCCAAACTGATGAAAAACCGGATTTTGTATTCCTATACTTCTTCCCAGAAGGCGCACCACTTTCATTCGTGTGGAGTCTTTCCATACCAACTTGTATACCATGTACCACATTACTGGAGGTCACTGAAGGATAAAATGGAGGAGAAGCAGAACTCAAACTTGACGCTGCTACATTCTTTTTGGCATGGACACCTTGATTCTCAGTTTTAGCAGGGGCAGTTGGTGAACGGTGTGACATTTTCTCACGAGAGTTTTGAGACCCATTAGAATTTCGTAACCTACAAATTCATTACACAAGTACATTATATTAGAAATAAACCTTCACTCAACTAGGGGAAATTTTTTTTAAGAACTCACTGTTTGCTTTGCTCGGAATTTGCTAGATTTTCATTCCTCAGGGGAGTCTCGGATTTCCTAGGCCCTCTCCCTCGTGAGACAGCTTTAGGAACATAAATTTGCTGTCCATTACTGGCTAATGTGTTAGAACTGCTCCCTCTAGCGTATCCACGCCCTTGTCCCCTACCCCGACCACGACCTCTGAATCGGCCTCTAGACATCCTCTGCTGTGCATCAAATTCAGTTTAAGAAAGAAAGGAAAAAGGTAAGAGGTGGAAAGTGCATAAATATAGCAAATGCTAACATATGTCACATGTACATGTTATATAGGGATCTAAAAATATTCTAAAAACCATAGACAGAAGCTTTACATCATAATGTTTTTCCCCAGTATTCATCTCTTCAAATTTGTCATGTCCCCATTTTCTTTCCTCTCCAGATCCCCACTGCCTTCTCCCACCACGCATTCGCCTACGAAAGCAAAAGATAGAGAATTATATCAATCGACAGATAGAATATAGAGAGAAGAGCTATATTCAGGAAAAAAAATTAATATTCCCTATAGTATGAACTAACCCCCAATGCAGGTACTCAAACCCCTCATGGTTGATAAAATTTCAAGATAATAAGAGGTCAATAACTCCACCTTTGAGTCAATTATCTCTCCTCTGAATACAATTTGAGACAGATTTCGAAGTCACAAACACAGTAAAGAGAGTATACAGTACCTGTTTCCGCCAGCAGACATTTCCTGAAACCTATCATCATGCATATAAAAAGCTCCACCTGTGGGAACTGTAACTTGTTGCTTCTCCTTTTCTTTTTCTTCGTCTCCATTCATCATACCACTCCTCTTGTCATCATCGATTCCACCACGTTCCTCCTCCTCCTCCTCCTCCTCAAAACTATCCTCCCCATCTTCGTCATTATCATACTTGACAGTATCAATCTGTTCATCAGATAGGTCAGAATCAACCTCAGCCCTCTTATTTTCAACATCTCTATCAGATTCAGCATCATCACTATCGTCATCACTTGCTTCTCTCCTCCTCGTGGCCAAGGAGCGGTTCAGCTCCTCGGGATCACTCTCATATTCCGCCGCTTCAGCAGTCGCCATAAATTCTCTCTATAGGAACCCTGAAAAAAGGAGAGCGGTACTCGTAAATCCAAGACCTAGATGAAGAAATTGCATCGAGTAATCGAAGAAGTCGCTCAATCGCTCCATACGAAACGACTATTATGAAGAAAGCTAGCGCTTACCTAAACCCTATCTCAGCTCCCAGAGGCGTTCGTTCTTCTGCGATTTTGGGGGTTTCCAATGAATCGATCGAATGGAGCAGACCGACCTTTTTAACTGTTAATTTAATCGATTTTTGTTATTTCGCGCATTAAATATAACGACTGTGACCTAAGGTTGACCCAAAAAAAAAGGTGTTTAGCGGGCCCAATAAGAAATTGGTAGGCCTTTTTAACGGGCCAGAATCTTTCGGAGCCCATTTAATAGGTTGCGTTGTTACTACGAACTCATTATAAATATGAAATTCGATGCCGTCTGCAACTCTCAGCTACTTTTTCCCCAAATTCTGAGCTCAACATCGAACCCTAGCTCAACGAACCAATCAATCATGTCTTCCAAGCAAGGTACGTTACTGCTACAGATATTTGTGTCGATGATTCATTACCGCTTTAAGGGTTTAAGACATCGTTACGATCTTCTTTTGGTTTTAAACAGGAGGAAAGGCGAAACCTTTGAAGCAGCCAAAAGCTGATAAGAAGGAATACGACGAGGTACTGTTTTTTTTTTTTTTTTTTAAGAGTTGGTTTTCATGTAGATTTGCCTTCAAAATCGTTTTATATTGTTAGCTTTAGACCTCGAATCAGACGATGCTATTGGTTTCTGGATCTGGTTTTTATTGTCCTAACTAACTTGAATTCTTGAAATGAAAATCACAAAATGATACAGAATCTGTGAATCAATGATTTATACGCAAGTTCGAATTCTGATCCAGTGTTTTTAAGAGCACACTTTCGACTTCTACACTTGATTTTGTTTGCCTACTATTGGTGTATCAAGGATTTTAGACATTCTCTAATTTCCTGGAATGTTGATTTTGCATCAATGCAGACCGACTTAGCTAACATTCAGAAAAAGAAAGATGAGGAAAAGGTTAGTTCCCATTTTGGTGCTCTGTCTTGTTCATATGAAGTTTTGTGATTGGAAATAATGCATCTACTTAGACTTCTATGTTTGGGCTCCTCTTTTAAAGGAAAGCTATAATATACTAATCGAAGATTGTATTTTCACTAGTGAGGAGCTTCATACTTTAGAGACATGGATTTTGTAAAGGGTATGCATTAGTATGTGCCACTTTGTCAGTTTAGTCAACTAATCTAACTGATGCTAATTATGACATTATACCTGGTGACTACAACAAGATGGTTCATTTTTATCAACATTTGTTAGTTTAAGTATTCATTACAGATGCTTTTAAGATGATATGGGCTAGGTTCTTCTTAATCTGATGAAATAGTGACCATTTTCCCATAGTTAGGATGTTTAGTTAACTTTCTTTCCATCCAATAATGTAAAAGCCTCTTTTGCTTTTGTACAGTGATCATTTGTTGTTACCCGAAAGCCTGACCCGTTTTGTTTTGAATGTAAATGATAAAACAGGCTCTTAAAGAGCTTAGAGCCAAGGCATCGCAGAAGGGATCCTTTGGAGGTTCTGGACTTAAGAAGAGTGGCAAGAAATGATCCGTTTTATCCATGAAGGGTGTTAAAATGCAAATTTATCAAGTTAAAAAACAGATAATCGTGTGATGATGTAACTTTTTATCATAATTCGAGAGAAGAGTAACTTCGCTTCTCCTTACAGATAATCGTGTTGCTTCTCTATTTTTCATGAAAAGGAAAAATGGTATCTACCTTAAAATCATAACGGAGTACAGTCAAGAACCGGGTACTAGGCTGTCTTGTTTCTCTTATCTCCGAATCAAAAGTATTAGAAACTGTTTTAGTTGGCATAACTTGAAGGTGAAATATGTTGCATTGATAGTTGAGAATATGAGCGTAACGTGACTCTACAAGATGAGGTAGAAACTGAGGGTGCTGACAGGTGATTTTACCAAATCGGTATGTGTAATGGTTAACAACTGTTCTTAAGAAGTGCATACTCTATAGATGAAATAGCTACATATAGCCCGTGAAAGCAAAGCAAAGCTGATCCAGAGGAACTTTAGAGCCTGAAAGAGCCTGCCTTTTTTCTTGAACCGTTGATCTTAGCAGAGGTACGAGGGTCAGAGAACTCGTAATACATGTCTGTGAAGAAATTGTCAACAATGTCAAGGTACACAGGACTTCTGATGCTTGAATAGCATCGAAGCGCTTCCCTTACATCCAATGCGTGATCCACGTCTCTCAGATCCACCATGTTCAGATCTTTCATCTTTTGCGCCAATGCGTCACCTCTTTTCTTAGCATCCTCGAATGGCACTGCGACTTTCTTCGGTTTCTTTTTATGTTGGTTGCTGAGACTCTTCTGGTGTGTTGTATCTGCCACAGCCGTGTCACAACAGATAACGGTGTAGGATTCTTTGGTTTGGGAATCTTCTGGACAGCGGCGGCTGCAAGAGTAGGGGCTCAAGAGAGGAGTGTCGTTAGGTAAGTTTTTGTAATCACCAGAGCAGATAGTGGACTTGATGCTCCCAAGAGTCTTCTTCAAGAAACGTCCAACTCTCTGAATTGATTTTGATGTAGGTTTCATCATCTTTCTTGCTGCTCATTTTTTTGAGAAGATAACCATATTTATGTCACTAGGGAGCTCAAAAGGAAACCTAACATTGATTTAGTGGCATGTAGTAGTTGAAGAAGGAAGCTGATAATGTCAGACTTTAAGAAGGTGTCATCTTGTTGATTGTGTTGTCCACTTTTATAGGTAAGCAATCGTCTTCACATTGATAAGCAGTGTTCAAAATGGTCCCCTGCTTATCATTGCCACGCCCACCACTAGTCTCTCATACATGCCAGTTGACTCGGGGTAATAATAATCAGAGCTAGGCCCATAAAGCCCATGTTTTTGGCGGTAACTGATTAAGATCCATTTTGGGTAGGAAAAACCCTAGACGCTCGCTACACAGTCGTCTTCGCGGAGCCGCAAATAATTCTGTAGAGCAAACTTTGAGTTTGATCATCCCTGCATCTGCGGCAATGGTAATCCATTAGCATTTTTTTCCGTGTAAGCTCATGTGTGACTTATGTATGACCGGTGCTTTGAAAATGGCAGGGTAAGGGAACAGGGAGCTTTGGTAAAAGGAGGAACAAGTCACACACGCTCTGTGTGAGATGTGGTCGCCGAAGCTTTCACATCCAGAAGAGTCGTTGCTCGGCATGTGCTTATCCAGCTGCCAGAAAGAGGACATGTATGTACTCTCTCTATTTCTGTCTCTGTCTTGGAATTTCGGGTCTGATCATCGGGTTTGTGAAAGAGTCCTGGAATTTATGATTGGTGATTATGTGGGCAGATAACTGGAGCGTGAAAGCAATAAGAAGAAAGACAACAGGAACTGGTAGGATGAGGTATCTCCGCAATGTGCCTCGTCGGTTCAAGACTTGCTTTAGAGAAGGTAAAGCTACGTTGCACCATTTTCTTCACTTTATAGATAGATATTTGATATAATCTTAGACTTGCTCAATCTGATTGATGGAATTGTGTGGATCAGGTACCCAAGCCACCCCTAGAAGAAACAAGGCTGCAGCTGCTTCTTCCTAGGCATTTGTTCATTTTGCGTTTTGCCGTTTGTTTATTTGCTTCTGATGTAGCTCTTTAAAATCTTTTTGAAGGAGAACTTTCTATGTTTTCATTTGTATCTCTTTCGTCTGCAATTCTATTCCAGATTGTCTGATCAATGGTATACCAATGTAATGCATCCGTGCTATTACTGTTTAATGAATTCTAGCAAAACTCCATGTAATATGGAGGAGTTACAAGGACAATCCAAGTATCAGTTTGGTGGTGTATATTGACCGAAGAGGTGTTTTTCGTAGTGCAACTGTTTGAAAGTTTGCTCCATTTCCGGAAACGCCGATAGTAGTAACAACTCCAAAAGATCAAACGCCAGTTGCTTCAAACAAACTGATGACTGAAACAACAATAATTTCAACAATGAAATCAAATGTTTGAGCTTAAGCATCTCACAACCTGAAATCAAGCGGAATGTTTACCTGAAGGAAGAAGTAGAGATCTTCTGCACATTGTTCATACTCCTTTTGTCCTATAAGACTCACTATAGTAGCTGGGGCTTTTTCTGTAAGTTGTGAGGGTTAGTTTCAAACATTTATGTTAATTCAACTATGCTTAGATATCACTGATGCAAAAAAAGTATCAGAGAACAGGACGCTCATTACCGATCATCAGCTCATGAACAAATCTTGCTCGTCTCTCTGCTTCTTGTTTCTGCTCCTCGTCAGAACTGCTGGATTGTTGCTGCCTTTTTGGATGCTTTGTCATGAATATACCATCCGGCCATAGTATCTGAGAGGTCATACCAAAGATCTCTTTCAAATCTCACCATGGATTGAAATATAACAAGACCAAAGACATCACAGAGATATATCCCTGTTAGGAATACTCTTCCATTATTCAATGCGACTTTCGCCACTACCTCTCACTGTGTGAAAGGAAGGAGTTCAAGTGGAGGTTCTCACCTGTTCCACCCGTTGAATTCCAGAAGCAACTACAGTTCCCCGCCGCAGAAGACAGATTTTCTCAAGTACCCAATCGTCCAATGCGTCGCCCATCCCAAGTTGAAGTATCTGTTTAGCAACCCAAAAAGCTTTCCGCCTTGTAATGTGCAAAAATAAATATTCAGAATTACTCAACTTTCTTGACTGAGAAAGAGAAAAATTGTCTGGTCCCTGGTTATAAAATTACATACCTGATCCACCCACCCTCCTGGAGTTGAAAGACAACATCTACTAAGTCTAGCAAGGGTAAAGTTAGCTTTGGAGGAACCCACTGCAAGAAAGAGATGATATAACAAGAACACTAAGTTAGTGATACAAGCACTGGCCTCATTATTTCCCACAATACAAAAAACAAAATCATCAGAAAAAAAATCTTCGATTAGCTGATGCTAGGTGTCGATATACCTCGGTGGGCAGGCCAGCGCAGGCCACATCATCGGCATGTTGAGGTCCCACCTTTAGCCCGCCATTCTCTTTGCGGTTTCTCACATCTAAATCAGGTGTCTTCAAATGATCACTTCCAAGAGTTTTCACTTTTGACTTCTCATCATCCACCGTAACGTTATTCCTCATATTTTGACCCGATTTCCCATTCTCTGAACTCAGATTTTCTCTCCAAGGAAGAGGACCTGGCGTTGCCTCGGTCATATTTGCCATATTTGTAGTGACAGTAGATGTCTTACTGACAGGTTTAACTGAAATGATTTACTAGTAACAATAAATTATATCGAACTAATTAAAATCAAAATCTAATTGTTTTGTGGATTACTCACCTGTTAGCGTCTCAATGATTGAGAAAGAACTTGAGAACGCATAAGTCTGCACAGCAGCACCAAGTTACATATCAAAATTTGTCAGAACTAGTGATCTTTGAGTCAGCGGAAGAGAATCTACCTGAGAATCCACACTGAGGAAGTCCCAAACTTCAATTGAGCCTGAAATTCGTTGTAGCTGCAAAAGCTTCTGAGCAAAGTAGAGAAAGGATAATTCGCAGATTAAGGAAAACCGCAGAATCACTTCAATGCAAAGCAAACATTCACATTTAGTTAACATGGAAGAATAGAAGGCGTGTGAAAAGAAACTGTGTAGAAAGGTTCAAGAATTAGAACTATCAGCCCTAGCTACTTGAGCAGATCAAAATACAAAGGTACATAACTTCAGTATATCAAAGCAGGCCTGGCTCTACTTCAGAATAAAATTTTAGAGCGGTAGATGGTGAGTTTCATACAAAAGAACATTCAGTATTAGCTTCTCAGAAATCTAAAGTAGCTACCAGAATATAAAATCCAAAAGCTAATTCAACCGTAAACCTACTGATCAAAAAAACAAATCCAGTAGAAAAATAAAACAAAATCCATATATAAAGCACCATGTAAAGTATGAACAGAGTAGAAAACAAGAGACATGGCGTTTGACCTTGATATACTCGTCAAGTAGTACACATCGCTCTTGGATAACAGGTATGTCCACGCCTGTTGATAGGAAATGCTTCGGCGGTAAATGAAGATTGTACTCAGGAAACACTTTAAGCCGTCGGTGAAGCTCCTCAAAATGTCGAAATCTGAAAGTTCAAATAAATAAAAAATGTAAAAGACAAAGCACAAACATCAGATCCGTAACAATATTATTCGATCACCTTCTTTTGATAGACCAGCTATGATTACTTTCATCTGTGACTGCAACTGAATACACAGCAAACATCTTAGAACTACCCTTCACAATGTTGGCACCCAGAACCTGCAAGAAGAACCTGAATTTATCTATCGTATGATACGGCATAAGAACATAATTGTCTGCAGCTTTACGGGTTTTTGGAACCAACATTTAACTGTACCTCACATCTCAACTTCGCAAAGGAATCAACCAACAAAGAACTTTTAGGGGCATTGGGAAGGTCACTTTCTGCCACTGAAACGTATGATGCAGATGACGTTGCAGACATTCCACTGTATGATCTAGTCAAAGAACCATCTTCAGAATCATCGCTACCATCATCACCTATAGTATGACCAGAAATTCTGGATCTCTTCCTGCCAGATTGATGTCCAGGTACATGCTGATAACGTTCATGCCCTTTACTGGTCTTTTTGAAACAACGGCCTGAATTTTCAAGAGGATGGTGTATCCGTGAAACACCAAGATTTTTCTTCGTTCGACCATCCCAGACTCGAGTCCCAGGACTGTTTAGACCTGTTACCGTTTCCTCATCCTCAGATGTATAAGAATGACTACTCTTTGTTTGCTCCTCGTCCTCTTCAGCAGAGGAATAACTTGATAAGTGACTGTCTGTATTTACGACTTCACGCTGACTGGACTCTCTTGCATTCACAGTGTTTTCATTGAAGTCACTGTCCTTGCTAGACCATCTCGGGGGTACGCGCTCATCAACTTTTTCACCTTCCTTCTTTTTATAGTTTCTTCCTTTTGCCCACACGCTTTCAAGATGCTCAGGAGCAAGGGTCTCAGTTTTCCTTTGTGACATCATGTCTAATACGTCACCCCATCCCTCTCCTCCTCGATGTCCTTGAGGATCTTTACTACCATCACCTATTTTGGAAGTCGAGGGGAAGGAGTTCCACGATCGGGAAGATCTAGTGTCCATTGAAAGCAATGGATCTTTAGAGAAATCTGGTACATGCTGTTTATCTGTAGCGCTTTTCCTTTTAGAATTTTTCTGCTGTTCATTTTTCAATTGCACAAGCTCAACACCTGTGACAGAGGGGTCCAGATATCTAGAAAAATGATCAGGAGAAACATTTGAGAGATCTTCAGACTGAGAAGCCTCTTCTGCAGTACTAGATCTGTTACTAGTCGTTATCTTTGACATTACAGCAGCTTCAATCCTCTCATTTATGAACCTGGTAGACAAAATGAATACTGTTGAGGTAAGAATAAGAGGAACAAAATGAGGTTTAAAGAGGTAAAAGTTTACCGAGGATTGGCTAGATTTAGGACTGGTCGGATCACACAGCAAGCAAGAAGCTCCCTCACGGTATAGTGGAAAAAAGCACAGTGCAGATCCTCTGGCCTAAATGTTAGTAAAATGAGGCTGTTCATTATATGTTGCAGAACCTGCCAAATAGAGACCATAGTATCACCACCTGATAGCAATAAAGTGGTAAAACATCCAACATAAAAACCTATATAACACCTCATTGCAACTTAGACTACAGAAAACCTTATGCTCGGATTCAGGAGAGAACAAAGCAGGGTGCAATTTATCTTCAGCAGCCATCACACGTTTTAGTTCTGAGTCTCGGTCTTCAAAACTGAGGTTTCTCCTTTGTTGTCTCTCAATCTTTGCTTGACACTCGCGGAAAAGCTCCACACGACGGCATATAATATCAATCAGATCCCTAGATCAATAAGACAGTTTAGTTTCTTGGAGAAGCGGTCATAACAGAAACTCAAGCTGAGAAGAAGACACTAAGAAGAACAGACCTTGTCAATAGATCAATAAGATTTACGTTTCTAAACCGCCGTGAAAGTTCCCCAAGAACATGGTTGATAATAAACACCAGTTCTTCAGGACCTTGCTTATCCGGTGTAATGCGGGAGTACCAAAGATCCAGTACCCATTCAGAAATGAGGTGACGGGTGAAGTGATCAATTGCATCCTCAACAACTTGAGAGTTCACTTTACTTCTCCAGTCAGAACGTGGAGCTGCTTTCGGGAGTTGGGGTATTTGATTTAGAGTTGGTGCATTCAGAGACGAAGGTTTGCTGTTGTAAGCTGCAGCTTTTCTTTTCATTTCAATATCGAATGAGAAATAACGAAGGAAGATGATCAAACACGCAGCAGCAGGGAGGTTTACCCAAACCGATGAACTTGTCACTGCAGAAGTTTATACAAACGTATCTATTCATCAGAGATTTCTGAAGGAAACACTATAAGTAGCTACTGAACCAATAATAAAATCTGCTCCAAAACCAAAAGTGAAGATACAAATAAGAACAACGCCAAACTTACGGGACATGAGGTAGGACAGTCCGACGACGCATATCACAAGGATTACAATTCGTTTCTTGGCTTCCTCTACCAGGTCCCGAACAGTCACCCCCTGCTTCTGGGTGCTCATAGTTGAATCCGTCCTTTCTTATCTCACACACGCTTAAATCAAACTTACCCGACAGAGCAGACGGATTTTATTCAGAACCTAAGGACCCATTCCCGGGAAATTAGGACCTGATCTTCGAAATACATCCGGATCAGGAAAGATTAGCTGGTTTCGAAACGATGAAAAGGAAGGAGAGGGAGAGGGAATCAATGCTTTTTGGCAATCAAACAATCAGCGGAAATGGATTCTTTCCCGGAGACGGTTGGTGATTCCGTACGTTTCTCCGGCGACTGTTCAAGGGAAGAGATCTTTTTAATTCTGCTGTCTCTTGGTGGTTGTTTGCATTTCATTAATGTTATTTTTTGTTTTTAACAAATGGCAATCAAGTCCATATGATATCATCGTTAGGTGTCGAACCTTGGGTTGGGCTCACCAAAACCTTGGGCTATTTTGTAATTTTGATCCAACATTAAACTATAATGAGCGAAATGCCCTTATTTCCCTCGGAAAAGGATTAAATTATCCAAATTAGGGTTCACATTGAGAGCTCTGCATCTATGGAGGCTACGCAAGAACAAGTCGGTTTACTCGACAAGATCCTCCCGCCGGCCCTTGCAGACGCCGGGCTCGAGGATTGTGCTCTGCCGCCGGAATCTATTCAGGACGCATTTCGTAAAGCCGCCAACGCCGTGAAGTCTCGCGCAGTCTCGATTTTCGAACACGAGGAGGAAGGCGGTTGTGTAGCGGATCCGATACCGGAAGCTTCTGACACGATCATTATCGGCGGGGATAATGAAAGGGATACTGGGCCGTGTTTAACCGGAAAGGGCAATGTGAAGTTGGCTGAATCGGAAAAGGCCGGAGATTTGGTTGTAGCAGGCGAAGGAGGAGAAGGGAGGAGCTGTGTTGATGGTTTGAAGGATTTAGATGTCGAAGGTATTGAGAGCAGCGGTGAGAAGAAGGATCTGACTGAAGAAGACGAAGACGAGGAGATGAAACCGATCTTGGTTGAAGGATTTGTTTGAGAGTCCTCACATTGTCAAAAGTCAAAACTGTTACCTCCCTCGTATTCGTTCGTGTATATAAATAAAAAAAGCATTAGACTTTAACAAGTTGCTAGTTGTTTTTGGTGTCTGCTGTTGATTCCGTGGTGCTTAAAAGTTCGACCTTTGTCTCCATTGGCAATGGTGGCAAAGTTTATGTATCGCCTGTAAGACACAAAACTTGATGAATTACGATTTGAGGAAAGAAAGAGGCGATTCTCTTCAGTGATTTACTTTTTCTGCTTCTATCCCACAAACCATTGCTATTCAGTTTCAAATTCAAGGAGACATGCTAACGTTAGCAAATAGCAGGCATGTCTCTTTTCTATTTGGTCTTGCAGAATCAAATCTCAAATTCAATTGTATAGTTTGTTGTTAGTGACTGCTCAACTCTCCTTCTGTTGAACGCATTCATAAAAAGATTAAACCTTTGTTGTTAGTAGCTTCTGTGTATGGAGAAAGTGTCAGCAGAGAGGAGAAAAGAGAATGATTGGATTCTTTCTGTTGTTGAGTTTGCTCTTCAGCAGAAAAGCAAAGATGGAGCAATATAGAAGTTATGATATGTCTGAATGAATGTAAATCTTACACTGCAATTTTTCTTGTTTAGCATGTTATGCTTTATTGGCCATCACAGATAATGCCCACTTGCCTATTTCCATTAGATCAGAATTGAGGCTGCCTTAAGATCATCGTCTTTAAGAACAGAATTGAGGCCTTCAAAACAAGATGATTTAGAAAGACAGTGAGTCATCGGCACCATGGGGCTCTGAAGTCAGCCTGTTCAAAGGTAGAGATGAGACCATTTTGCTCATATTAGGGTAGGGAGATAAAACCCCTCTAGCCTTCATTCACCCATGGCTCCACACCCCAAGTACTATAGACGAGTGATGAAGAAGAAGAGCAAACCCATCACCAGCACCAATTCAGCTTATAGTATGAGCATTCAGTGTGGTGCTTTTGTTTCACTGATCATTCCTGGCTCCAGGCTCTGTAGTATGTTTTGATTCATCTCATCTTTCTCACTTTGTTTTGGTCATTTTGGGTCCAAAGAGTGTTTGTCGTCTTCTCTCAGTCAAGTGAGTTTAATACAATTAGAAAAAAAGATTCCAATTAGAAGGCCCATGTTTATTATAATTTCAGATAAAGGCACGCTCCTTCACGCGCCTTTTCGATTTCACATTCGGATCCGATTTGTTCACCCGCCGGAGATCCACCGGCATCATCTCTAAACGGCTCTGGCGAAGAAGGATCGGCGCTACTGCTGGAGGACGATAAGCTGTTTACGTTTTACAAGTAAACGGATAAATTTCCCAAGCGAAAGGTTTCATTTTAGAGCTCCACGTTGAACGAACTAAACGGTTTCTCGGATCTCACTCTTGCTTCCTCTCGACCCAGGTTCTCCCTTCACAACTTTATTTACGTTCCGTACGTTTTGGGTATCTTAGTAGTTTCTGCTCTGTTGCCCACAAAGTGTTCGACGAAATGCGTGTATGAAAACTAAGAATTCGCATATCATGGAATTTTCAGCGCAATGGAGAAAACAGACGAAGAGAGGAAGAAGGCTCAGATGCTGGACGCTCGGGCCAGAAACATTAGCCACAATGTTCGCTGCACTGAGTGTGGGAGTCAGTCCATTGAAGACTCGCAGGCAGATATCGCTATTCTCCTTAGACAGGTGTCTACTGTCTCAAGTTTTTTTCTCCAAAGGTTAACGTGAAGATAGTTTTGCTGTCTACTCTTCTAACACACCTGAGTTTTGTAGTTGATCCGCGATGAGATAGGAGCTGGAAAAACTGACAAAGAGATCTACAATAAGCTCGAGGATGAGTTTGGGGAGACAGTGCTTTATGCCCCGAAATTTGATTTGCAGACTGCGGCCTTGTGGCTCACACCGGTCAGTTTAAGCTGTCAATAACAACTGAAACCTCCAATGGGGACGTTTGGTTTAATGGACTCTGGTGTTTGGTGTGTGGCAGGTTATAATTGCTGGAGGTACCGCTGCAGGGTTGGTTTACCAGAAGCACAGGCAAAGGAAAAATGTAGACATCATGGCGTTGAACCTTATTCGAGGTGTACCATTGACTCCAAAAGAGAGAGTTACCATACTTGATGTTCTTATTCCACCTTCCCCTCCTCCTCAGGGAGTTGCTTCTCGATTGAGGAGATGGCTAAACCGGTAGTTCCCGTATCTCCTTAGCTCTCTTGTTCTTGGCCCAAAATCTTATTGTGTTAGCCAAATAAACAATGTGTTGAAGGAGTAAGTACACATTGATTGTCTAGGAGAAAAGGAGTAAGTACACATTGATTGTCTAGGAGAAACAAATAGGGACTGCTTTGCATCCGTTACAAGCAGTTTTTTTTCCTATAAAGTTGAAAAATGGATTCTTCTATAGAATTATCTTGGGATGAGATATGTATGAAGAAAAAATTATTGAAAGTGTGATACTTGTTGTATCTTTGCTGTGTGCTTGAATACAGAGAGTGGGTCGTTGATTATGTTACTTCCGGCACAAAGACATCTTTCTTTCCAAAGTAGTTTGTGTGCTGAATGCTCTTTTTTCGACATCTTTATCTTAATAAGCCGAAGCTCACAAAATGTATCTATATTATACAAGATTTTCGATACAAGAAGCAATGAGTAAACAGAAAGAAATATAGTCTAGCTCACAAGAATTATATGTTGAACATTACAAAGGGTGTTAACTGGTTAAGCATTTGGGTTTTGTTACATTGTATCATCATCATTCCCTTTAAAATTCGAAGCACTTTATTCCACATAGTTGACAGAGAAAACTAACATACAATCCCACGGCCCGTGGTACTTAGTAGTAGAGTCTATACATGAGCATTTTATTCCTTTTTTGGGTCAATCATATACTATCTAGTCATAGTTTACTGCATCTTCCAAAGATGACTTCAAAACCAAACAGATTCACTCATCAGGGCGGCGGCAAATTTTTTCTAATCCCAGCGGTTCCTGTTCATATATTAAGACACAACGTCATCAATGTTTCCCACACCCAACATAAAGGCTGAGATCAATCTTCTTACCTCTGTATTGTCAAGGTCGTAGCGAACAAGAAACACGCAGTTACATCTCCTGTGATCATGAATCCCTCTCTTAATATTCACAACATGACCATCACAGTACAATGCTTGATCATCCCTTTCCTGCTCATTAACCACCCCAACTTTCCATTCTTAAGTTCAATTTTTTTTTTTTGCTAAATGTTTCATCCTTCATAAGTAGTCAAAGTCAGCCTTACTTGGAAACATAGAAGCAGGTCTCCAATATTCACTCTCCCACACTCTGATGGTTCTAAAGGAATAGACCGCTCACGCACTGATGTTTTGACGTTCACCCACTCATCGTGTCGGTTGTCGAACCCAGAAAAGCGTACACGCACTTCCTGTTGCAGACACTCTCAGTTGCAAACAAATCAGCCATTAAACAGAAGAGAAGAACCTTACCAATTCACCAGTGCGAAGAACTCTATAAGTAAGGAACGAAGATACGTCATACCTGAAAGACCAGAATTCCAGCAAATTAGCAGATATAAAACACAGAGGTATACATGTCCAAAATTAGGGCATTCCTTGTTGAGTTAACAATACTTCATGTTTATACTTAGGCTACTTAACAAAGTCCTATGCTAGCAGTTGTCCCCAAATGTATGTATGTTTATTACTTGTTCAGTTTGCAAAATCCAAGATTTAAAGCAAATATAGAAACACTTGATATCCAATGCAAGGAAACGTTCTTACCACGCGTAGTCCCGTGCTGATTTAGCCTCAAAAGCCAGATCAGCTAAATCAGAGGCTTTACCTGTGTATGAAAATGTTCATAGGTGTTAACTAAAAGAATAAAAAATGGCACACAATAAAAGGAAACAAACCTTTGCGTGTTTGAACAAAGGTAGCATTTGCAGCATAACAACTGGGATTAGATAAGTCATGAATCTGCAAAGGGGGAGATGGCAAAGTTTTGAATTTGGGTTGAGATTGCTGCTTCAGCTTCTCCTGGAACCAACTCTGTATCTGAAAACACCTTAACCAAAAGAAGAAGTTATTTCTGCTCTACTTGCATTTTTTTACCAGTTAGATTATATGAAGAAAAAAAGAGACGCACCTGTTTCCAGGTTACCGTGGATTTTCCATTCCGATTCACAGAACAACTTTGAGAAACAATGGAAGAAGACATAAAGCTATTTTTAGATACTGTGCATGAAAAACAAATAATCCAATAAAAGCCTGACAAAATGCTTGTATCTAGATTCTCTAACTAACACATTCAACAGATCAAATTATCCTAAAATCCAGAAGAAAATACCTAAAAGTGGAAGCAACAGTTTGACAGAAATCTTTGTGGAGAGATTGATCACCGAGCTCCTTATACAGATTCTCCATGTCTACAATCTTCGCAGAAGAAGAGCAATATAATAAGATCACAAAGCATGAATCTCTAATCTAAGAAAACAAAAAAAAAACATATAGCAAAGATGATACCTCGGCCAAGGTAAACTCGGTGAAATAGTGAGAGGAATCATCGGGAGCAGCCATTATCCAGCGCTGAAGAAGAAGAGGAAGAAGAAGTGAAGGATTTTACGCTAATTTTGCTACAACAGTGATGCCTTCAGAGTGAATTAATGGGCCCAAAATATATAACTAAATGGGCTTAAACTCACTAATTTAAAACCCATGCTTGTTTTTGAACCATCTATCATTTTATGTTATCTAGAGTATATATTCCCTATTTATAATTGACTTTGAGACTATCGAGACAGGGTGAGGGAACCCGTCCACGGGGGATCTTCCGAGTCATGAGCAGGTGGTGGTGGAGTGTTTATTAATACTCGTGATTACTACTGACATGATTAATCACAGTCACAGCTAAGCCTCTCACTAATAAGGCTCTCTACCTTTTTTTTTTTTTTTTTTTGTGGCGACAATCCAGGCCCTTATTTCTCCAATACAAGATTCGTTTACTAAACATATCGAATAAAGTAATAAACATTATTGTTAGTTAGTTATTTACACGTGTTTTAAAACATTTTAAACGCACAAATAATATAGTAGTTGAAAATGATGGCAAAGCGCCTGATCGATTTGACCGAGACACAAACACGCAAATTTAATTACGGTTTTGTATTCGGTACATAGCTGTCATTCTGTGTTACGTATTAATTGCGGGTATTTGGCTAATCACGCACGCAGTAGATATTATAATGT